GGAGACACCTAGGAAATCAACTCTGAATGTTTCCTTATTCTTTTCCTTCCCTGGACCTATGCATCTCTACCATCCATAGAGGGTACTAATACTAATGCCATGTAAGCATGCATTTATCAACCTCGTATGCCAGTGTTGCAACAAACTTCAGTACTTAAAACATGATATTATATTGTCCACTGGTACTGTAAATGAGGTAGTTATAGCTTTACCCCAACATGTTAAATACATGCTTAGAGTAAACAGATTTATTTTAAACACTAAAATATCAAAGGTATTCAACCGATTTATTCTCAAAGGTTGCTTGAAGTTTTCTGTTTACTTGTCACATATGCAATGAACTCAAAACTATATTCAATTCCAGTTGAAGATGCATGAACAGAAAGCAGAAAGAAAAGCAGTAAAAATGGTAGCTACTAAATACTTGCACAAGCATATTCAGAGCTCAAAAAAGAAATCAGAGAAAAAAACTCTGTACATCTACTCTAGGCTACCACACTGTGTTAATCAAGCATGCCTCTTCATTAATCTGTGCAATTCCATATTACATTAAAAGGAAGATTCATATTGAAAAATGAGAGAGCAGCACCACAGAACCAATCGAAGGAGTCGTGCACATAGCTTTTATATTAGGATGGCATCTTCTCAACATGATGTCATCTTTGGCCATATAATTTATGAGTATATGAAGCTGCCTTATATCCAAAATTGTCTACTCACAACAACTTTCTGGAGTCTCAGGCACAAAAAGGTCTTTCTAAACACATGTTACTTGAGACCCTTTTAAAGTGGAGGTGTCAGTGACTGAACCTGGCACTTCCAGTGTGCAAAGCAACAACTGAAGCACAGAGCCTCCAAACGTGGTCATAAAAAGTGACACACACAAACACACCCCTACCTGACCGATAAGATCCATCTCGGAAACAAACAGATTCAGAATGCTATGCTATTACTGAGTCAGTATTATAGACTTGGAACGGCTGCAGGGTCTTTGACTGCCCAGCCCCTTTTTACTTTTGAAATGAGAAAGTGATCACACCAGGATAAGCTTGTAGTCATGCCACTGGGCATTTGTCAAATCAAGGAACAAAACCAGGGTACTCTCAGGAATTCAGCTTACACTGCTCATAGAGAACAGCCACTTCTCTAGCTATCTGTGGAACTTTTGCCTCCAGGTGATAAGGCAGAGGAACTTTATAGGTTAAGTTCTCCCCCTCAACCAAGCTAAATTAGTAAAATATCTAGGACCTGGGCAGTTCAAGCGAACATTTGCTAGGCTGATATAATGAAGAAAACACAACTTGATGCAGCTTCTGCCATACAAGCTATGAGGTCCCCAGCACTTTTATGCTCAGCAGCAGGAGACTATCTCAGGGTTGAGAATAAACGAGCACAGACCTTCTAGTGCAGACAGAGATAATCCACTTCCATCTCATATTCATTCTCATTTTCAGTTACGAGCAAGAGCCACACAAACACTCTGGAGGATCTCCCACCTCCCCCCAAATAATTTAGGGAGAAGACAACTGGGAGCTTCTACATAGCAGCCCTGCCACTTCCAGCTCAGGAACAAAGTGCAGGGCTCGGTCATCTTGCATTCTGTCACTCTTACCCCTGCTCAGCGAACAGCTCTGGTCCTCCCTACTAGGTTCTGAACAGAAACTGGGCACTGCACTATCCATGGGTACCACAAGACACAAGCAGAAATTGGCTCCTCGGGGATAGGCACACCCTGAACCGTTCCACTGCCTTAAGTCTTATTTAGTGTTTCTGTGAATCCCACTTCTCTTCAGTCAAGCACTAGGCCTGCTACACAGCTCCTCTGTCTGGATCATAAAGGCATGCATGAACCTGCATCACCATTTGTCTCTTAACAAGAAACCTGACCAAGACCAGGCTACTGGGATGGCATTACCTGCTCAAAAGGAGGACTGCAGGACACCTCCTCCCACTTCTCTTCAGTCAAGCACTAGGCCTGCTACACAGCTCCTCTGTCTGGATCATAAAGGCATGCATGAACCTGCATCACCATTTGTCTCTTAACAAGAAACCTGACCAAGACCAGGCTACTGGGATGGCATTACCTGCTCAAAAGGAGGACTGCAGGACACCTCCCTCTTTCAAACGAGAGAACAAAAGGGTGACCAAACCCTACGAAGCAACAAATATAATCCTCAGATACAAAAACACAACTGACAAATAATGTCAGAACACCAAGAACCACTCAAAACAAGTTAAATTCACCAGGAGAAAGTCAATAAAGGCGCCGGATACCACCGGAAACGCGATCAGACGCCCGCCCTTGCCCCGCAGTTTCTGGAAACTAGTACCTCCAAGGTACTAGTTTTTTGCTGCGCTTTTTCGGCAGGAAGCCTCAGTTGTGCCACGGAAGCGCTACGCTTCCCAGATGTGCTGGTGAGATCGCGACCGGAAACTCCGCTTGTCTTCCGTATCTCTTGCGTGGCTAATGTTGCGTGTGACCGCAGCCAATGTACTATATACAGCCCCATACTACACAAAGTCAAGAATCCCTTTCTTCTTCCTGTGCACATTACATTTATTTCAGTAGTAAAGAGGTCTCTAGATAGACATTAATGTACAGTTAACCCAGTGCCTAAAAATAATTAAATTTAGATACCAGCACAGCTGAACTGCAGAAGGAACAGGTAAATCATTATTTTTGTCTGCACTAGCTATATCACTATCCTGGAAAATTTACAAACTGCTCCTATATAGCAGATCATCTTCTTTCCTTGCAGCACCACGACACTCTCTCAGCATCTCTCCAATATCAGGCGTGCCTTAAGTTCGAAAACAAACCATTCAAATGGATGGTGAACTCCCTCTTAAATATCTTCCATTCCTAAATTAACAACTTTTTAGGCACATAAAATATTAGCATCTCCTTGTTTCCTTGTTTGAACACAGTCTCACTGAAAGCAGCTACCCAGTACTTATGAATCTTGACTCCACATGGCACTTCCGGACAACAAACCCCACCCCCTATAAATAATGGTTGAGGAGATTCTGTTCCACTGTATCTGATGAAGTGTGTGTGCACACAAAAGCTTATACCATGAATAAAACTTTTTTGGTCTTAAAGGTGCCACTGAACTCAAAGTTTGCTCTGAAAGCGGCTACAGTGAGGGAAAGAAACCTTCCATATCATACGACATAGCAAAACTAAACCTCTACCTTTGCCAGATTACTCATGCGGCCTTCAGTTGCTTTACTTCCATTCTGTGGCATCTCCATTCTCCTGTCTCCCCTCATGGTCGACAGCAAGCTCCTCAAAGCAGAGGCCTACCTTTTTTATTTTTGCTTATTTTACTCTTTTTTATAAATAAAGGGTTTTTTAACTCTCTAAAGCACTATGTACATTGATAGCACTACATATATAAATAATACGCACGTCACCTGACAGTAGCTGTCCCCATTACACTGTCATTCACTATGTTTGGCATGACAGCAAATAAGGGGTAACATAACCAACTCCCAGGCTGGCTTCCTATAGGTGCAGTTTAGTGCCTAGTAATAAGAGTAAATACTCGACAACTGCTCATCAGTTAACTGATAATTAAACTTCAGACAATTCAGTGATAGTGTTATAACTGTAGTCTTAACCTAACATGATCTTACTCTAAAATAAACAGTTCATTCTACTCTGGAAAGCGCTGCCATCTCCACACTGCTGAAGTAAGAGACAACCCATTTCTAGATGTCAGGTCTCTGCACGCAATGTGTCTGAATGCACTTTTTAAAATTACCTGGTAAAAATTTAAACCTAAAACAGTACCAACCTAGAGACTAACTATGACAGCAAAATGAACGGCAACAACCCATTTCTAGATGTCAGGTCTCTGTACGCAATGTGTCTGAACTCACTTTTTTAAATTACCTGGTAAATACCGGTACCTACCCTACAACCCCTCAGTAGTCATTGATTCTAAAATACTTGTGAAAAAAAATCATAGCTCATACTCTGGAAGCAAAGGCAGACATTCCCTTGTAACCATCTAAACACAGCATGCATTCTGTCATATATTTTGACATTTATTCCTCAACAGGTGTTGCTCCACGGGAAGGACTTGTATTGAATTAGCACCCAGGTCTCAGGCCTGAATTCAGGAGAATCCTTACCACCTTGGTGGTGACGAACGGTCCTTAAGAACTGTTCAACAGCTGCTCCCAAACCACCCCCAATCCTTTGCTCCCACCCCCCAATCCACAAGCAATAGACAGCCACAGGTTAGAAAGCTATTAGGAAAGCAAGGCAGCAGTGACAAATACCAAAACATTACCTTGTTAACTGGCATGAGGTAAGCGGCTTGCTGATGAACACAACCTGCTATAGTACTGTAAGACATTGTCCCAGACAATACAGGGGGACATTTTTCACTTACTCCGAGGTGTTTTGCTGCCTGCCTAGATGTTTCTGTAGAATCTACAGGAAAGTGGTCGATTCATGAAGGGCCCTTCCAAAAAAAAAAAAATCCCCCCAAAAACCCAGTCTTCTAACCCAGATATCATTGGGGGGGTTGGGTTTTTTGTTTTTTGTTGCTTACAATGAAGTACAAAACCCCTTCCTTTTGCCAGATGTTTACATTCACAGGGGTGGGCGACAACACCTCTCCCGGAGCCAAAGTTCACAAAACAATACCCTTTCCTGCTGCTGCTGCTGTTGTTGTTACAGCCCATTTGTGTCGCCAGAGGTAGCCTCGCTGGCCCAACCGGGAACAAAACCCAACGTTAAGAGGAGAGAACTGCACACTCGTCCATAAGGAAAGGCCAATGACAAAGGTGCGGGCCCGGCCAGGATCTGGCTCCGGAAGGCTGGGAGAGATTTTTGATTTTTTTTGGTCCTAGATCTACGTGTACGGGGACGGCGCTTGGAGAGGTGGTGCTGAGGCAGGACCGGAGGGGTCCAGGAGGGCCGCGGGGTTCCCTCCGGGGCCGGCGGCGGGGCGTGTGCGCATCAGCAGCATCAGCATCATCATTACCTGCCCGGGTGGCCGGCCTGCTCCCGCTCGCTCAGCGCCGCCGCGGTGTAAATCCTCCGGTAGCGCTCGGCCAAGGCCCGGCCGGACAGCAGCAGCTGGTAGCGACCCCGGCAGCCGCCGCCGCCTCCCGCACCGGGCGGGGAAGGCAGCCCCGAGGAGGCCATCTGATGCGGCGGCGGCAGCAGCGCCCCGAAGCCGGCCGCGCTCTCGCCAGGCCCCATGGCCACGCAGGGCTCGTCGCCGGTGCCGCTGGGGAAGAGGAAGAAGCCGCCACCGCCGCCGGCGCCGGCGCCGCCGGGCTCGGAGCCTGTGCAGGACGCAGCGGCGGACGCTGCCGCGCTCATGGCCCTCTCCCCCCCCGCCCCCACACGCTCCGCCCCGAGCTC